ATAAGATGGAGAGCTTATGTCCTGGCCGACTGAAGCCCCGTCAGAATCACTGATGGCGCGAGAATCTAAAAAAAAAATATGGGGGTAAATAGATGGAAAAGGAATGTAGGAGCAGAGGCATGAAGGACGAAAATTGAAATACAAATCGAACACATGCAATGAAATTACAGAGAGAAAAAGGTACTTACTCAACGACATAATTGCTTGACGGTTGAAATAGACAGTACGATGGTCGAAGACGGAGTAGTGGCGACGAAGACTTCAGATGTTGCTGAAAGATGAAGAGAGTTATAACGAGAGATGTTTTTGCAGATGTGGAAAGTCTGGAAAATTAGGCTAAGAGTCCTATTTATGGGTAAAAGGAAGAAGAAGCGTGAGAGGTTGATTGATCTTGATCGTCGGATCAAGATCAAAAGTGTAAATTGAGTCGGCGGGTCGAGCAGTATTGTCGGATCAAAGTCAAAATGGGCGGATGATATTGAAAAAAGGAGTCGAAAGGACAACCCAATAAGAGTCGTTAGATTAAAGAAGAATCAAACGTTTGGACTTAATGCAACATTTAATGGCACATTGCACAAGGACAACACGGGTGATAATACCTCTATCGGTGGTCGAAAAAAATGTTTCACGATTAAATAAAAGAATCCTGAGTGAGGTGGTCAATGGGATGAGGTGTGAGCTTAAAAGAGAGACCATAGATAATCAAAATAACTTGACCAGATTGTGGAAAACCAGATGATATGGGATACCATACCGGGTTGACTTAACCGACCTGGGTGAACCAATAGGTCGAACAGAGATCGAAGGAGCTACAAATCGAATAGTCTTCAGGTCGACGAGGACGCCAAAAATAAAAAGGATCATCGGCATGTTGAGCTAGGACCCTCAAATGATATGGTAGAAACTCGACCTGAATGCATGACTGTTGATGGAGAAGAGTGCACGAGCTTAGTGTGGAAGACCATCCACCTCATAGAAAGCTGGGTCGGCCGTAGGATTAGACGGTCTAACAATGAAGACTAATGATAAGAAGAAATATAATTAAGCTAAAAACCACATGTGGATTGGACAATGTGTCCTAATAGAATTGTGCAATTCGGGCACGCAAGCAGTACGAACGGGTAGTTGGGGCGGTTTTGGGCAACCCATTCAGGTAGTCATGGGCAACAAGGTAACACCCTTATATAAAAGGGTGAGGTATGTATGTCTACACTCTACACACTCTTTATACTTACAAAGCTTATATCTATTGTCCATCGTCTTCTTCATCACTGTGGACTAACTTGATTGTCGAAGTGCTAACGTCGGGAACACCTCTCGGTCCATTTTGCAGGTCTTCGAACAGGTCATGAAGAGATATGGGTTGTGCAAAACATATCGAGGTCTTTTTGCATACCAGATAAAATAATATAAATTTTGAGTTACAGTGGACCAGCCCTTGCTCGCTAAATCTGCTTTGCCAATGCACATAGTCTACACGGGTTGGCCCGTGCCTCTAAAATTCTAACGTGAACCCATTTTGATATGTCAAATTATAATCAATCATATTTTTAAAATCATTTTTTCTATTATTTGGTTTTCAAACATTTTTCTTAATAGAAAAGAAAAATTCAACTAAAATATGCCTAATAGTACCATGATAAGTGTAGACTTAAGGTTGCGTTATTCTAGCGTTTTACGCTAGAGTTTTGACGAAATTGTCATCCAACACTATGCTACATCTCTACACTACTTTAAAATTATGAAAATACCGCGCTACATTTGACGTGATACTATTCTTTTTTTTTTTTTTCATTTTTTTTTTTTTTTTGACGAAACGATAGGCATATTATATATCAAAACGCACAAATGTGCAAGAAAACCAAGAACTAAAAACTGGGAGGACGGATCGAAACCGCCTAGAACCTCGCTAGCCATGCTAGAAAATAAAACACACAACACACAACTACACCAACACACCAACTACGAACGCTCCCCACAGGAGAATATGAAACGCCCTCCACAGGAGAATCAGAACCGGGGCCAACGGCCCAAACCTAAAAAACAAGACCAAAAATCACACACACAGACTCAACACATACAAAATATTAAGCTACCAAACCAAACCAAAACAAAAGCAACGCAATTAACCAAGCCCTTCCAAAGTAGCTACACCTAACCGAACCAGCGAAAACAAGGCGACTGTGAATCCGCAGCTATGTGTACCGACTCCGAAACTGCCCAAACCACTCGGTTGCCTAACGGCGTCGAAACACGAAACCCCAGAACCACACCAAGCCACCCCGTACCACGGCCACTGCACCAGATTGCCACGGACGGACAAAGGAGTGCCACGACCCCAGCCCCAACCCAAGACTGCCTGGAAGCTGCCCAAAGCCGCCCAACACCGCCGCACCGCCACATCCCACTCCGACCAACACCACTGGCAGGAGAAGGGACGCGACGACCCCTGCGACCCGAAAGCCGAGAATAGCGGGGAGAGTGACGTCGAACAGCAGCACCGCTCAATCGCCCAACCAAGATGGTCGACGAGCAATTGATTCGTGTCCCGCCCCCGGAACCGCGCCACGGCTCCACCACCGCCCAATAGAGGAGCCACCACCGTGAAATCGCTTGTCAGCGTTGGAAAAGGCGAAGTCCCATCACGACAGGCGAGGCCGACCTCCATGGAAGACGGACAGCAGAGCGGAAAATTGGGGACAGGAGCCAAACGGCCAAGGGCCGGCGACCGCCGGCGAAGCTCGGTGGCTACTATGGAAGGCCGACTGCTGTCAATTGGAGGAGACGAGCGGGGAGAAATTTGGGGCCGAGGGTTTGTAGAGAGAGAATTTTATGTTTTATTAACGTGATACTATTCATTACTACATTTTTTATTCATTTCTTATTATTTTTTTATTTCATGTATTTAATTTATCCAAAAATTTATTATTTAACAAAGCCTGTACCAATAAATTTATAATTAAATTTTATAATTATAGGAAAATATTTTTAAAAATGTTTATTTATATTGAATTAGTATAATATGAATCAAAATAATATACAAAAAATAACAATTATTTGTCGAACAATATTTCAAACTAGTAGTGGACCAACTAATACTGTGAAAATATTTATTTTACAAATAATATGTTCAATTAAATAATATTTTGGCATGTTAATTATATAAATTAAAATAATATGAATAATACATGTGGAATAAAATGTAGCGCGAACTATTTGAAATCGAACTTGATTTTCGTTTCCTCTACTCGTAAATTATACATCAAAGTAGAGATAGAGACTAGAGATAATTTAAGTGATTGGCCATATAATTTTTGGCTCTATCTTTTCTCACGCGAATTACACCAATATTTATGATTTAGGATGCACGATCACATCATAGTTCATTATGCACACAAAATAGTTGCAAGTCTTCTAAATTCAGATATTTTCTAATTCTGTCCATATGTATTCAAATTTCATTCGTGACTTAAAATTTTATTATTCAAACAAAAACTACTAAATTTATATTCATAACTAGTAAACTAAATTTATTTAATTTTCGATTGTCCTAAAATTTCACTTATATATTTATCTATTGAATCGCAATTTCATTTCAGACACTCCAAAACTAGTATTAGTAAATAATAGCTCCTTTTAAAAACCCATTTATCAACAGCATAATGGAAAACCAAAATGGAGAATATAAACGAGTAAGCTCCCATTTTTCCCGCATCCCGCGCGCGGCAAAACCAAAATTAGACGCAACTCAATCAGTACCACTATTGTATGTCCTGACGCACCTAACAAGGTGTGGCGGGACAATTATGCACGCGTCATTCTCTCCTCAAAAACCAAAAAAATGAGAAATTGTAATACACATGTCACTTTTCTTTTTTTTTTTTTAATTGAAAATGAGACTAGATAAATTAAAATATCATTAATGATTTATATTAAAATAAAAAAATAAAAAAACCACAATTCATAATTTTTCATTCTCTATAAATAGAGACCACATTTGGTAGGTTTTTGAACATAATAAATTTTTTTTTTCGTAATCAATTCATTATACTGACATAGGATGAACATGTTACATAATAAAATGAACATGTTATCAAATAAGATGAACATGTTATGGATTACAGAATGAAATAATACATGTTCATTTTATTTTATAACATGTTCATTTCATTTTGTAACATATTCATCTTATTTTATAACATGTTCATCTTATTGTGTAAATATGTAACATGTTCATCTTATTGTGTAAATATGTAACATGTTCATCTTCTTTTATAACATGTTCATCTTATTGTGTAAATATGTAACATGTTCATCTTATTCTATAACATGTTCATTTTACTATGTAACATGTTCATTTTATTATAGATTTGCGTCTTCATCTTCCAATAAGATAAGTTAATTGTGTTTTAAACCTATCAAATGTGGTCTTTATTTGTAGACAATGAAAAATTATGAATTTTGGTACTTTTATTTTTATTTTTTAATATAGAATATGAATGATAATTTAATTTATATATATAAAATTCATAATCCAATAAAAATGGGACACATGTCCCATTTAAAAAAAAAAACCTTACTTCACACGTTTTTTTGAGGGATTGTATTTCATAAAAGCTTTGACGCACCTAATTATTTTCGCAACTCAATGCCCAAAATCAACACCGTTCCCTGCCTTTATTGCAACCAAATCTGTACCGTTGATTATTTTCTTTATCAACGGACCTGTGTGGAGTCCGCCCCCACCAATTCTAACCAATCAAAATAAGCCACCTGTCAACAGAATCGAATCGCTCAAAACTCCCCACTAACCATCGACACTAATCAACGGTGCAGATCGACCATCCGCGTCATTTCAACTCAACCAATCAGATCTCACTTTGTCCTCTATTTATTCCAATCCTCTCACACTTTTCCCTCCATTGCAAAGTTCTCTCCGCAAATCGTACAAAAATAGAAAAAATTCTCCAAAGTCCAAATCACAAATCTCAGTTAATTCAATGGCACCAAAGGCAGAAAAGAAGCCCGCCGAGAAAAAGCCAGCAGAGGAGAAGAAGACGGCGGTAGCTGGGAAGGCCCCGGCGGAGAAGAAGCCCAAGGCCGGGAAGAAGGTCCCAAAGGACGGCGGCGAGAAGAGGAAGAAGAAGGCGAAGAAGAGTGTGGAGACGTACAAGATCTACATCTTCAAGGTCCTGAAGCAGGTTCACCCCGACATTGGGGTCTCGAGCAAGGCCATGGGCATCATGAACAGCTTCATCAACGACATCTTCGAGAAGCTCGCCCATGAGGCTTCGAGATTGGCGAGGTACAACAAGAAGCCGACCATCACTTCTAGGGAGATTCAGACGGCGGTGAGGTTGGTGTTGCCAGGTGAGCTTGCCAAACACGCTGTTTCGGAGGGGACTAAGGCCGTGACTAAGTTTACCAGCTCTTAGTGTTTGCACTTTTTTATTTTGTTTGATTGATATGACCGGTTGTTTTTGTGGATTTCTGAATAGATTTAATTGGGTTATGTATTTAGCACTCTTTTTGAGAAAATTGCTGATGAATTGAGTTGGATGTTATGGGTTATTTTGATAGTAATGAAAGCCAACAGTTGTTTTAAGTGAAGAGTTTAGATGTTCAAAGATTAAGCAAATGTTATATATAATTTGCTGGAGTTGCAGATTGTTTTGGGTAGATTAATTTCAGTATATCAGTCTGACTAAATTTGTCATTGAACTATCCAAAGCTTCATATTGCTAGAAAGATGGAATATTACCAACTGATACAACTCATGGAACAAAATGATTTAGTTATGTATGATGTAATCAATCGATGTCGGCATGAACATAATCAACAAACACAAAATTCTTCTGAATTTCATTAACAGCATAAGCCAACCCAGCACTCAAAATTGCTAATGCCCCCAAAACTGTTCGTAATTGCATTTCAGGAGGAATGCCTGTTGTCGCGCAAAAAACAACAGCAGCACCAATCAGAATCTTCTGCAGTGTCTGAAAGGAGCTGTACGCATTTCTACACGACGAGCATTTTAGAGTGTGCTGTTCAAATCTATCCAGCATCTGAAAACACGTTACATGAAAAATTATGAAATGCCTCATAAAATATTACAACTCTTGTTAAGGGCATGAAAAACACACCTACATTTGATTGCATTATGCTCTTGTTAAGCTACATGCTAACAAAAACTCCCAAGTTGTCAAACAAAACGAGTAGAAGAAGATAAATTTCTTTCTAAGCTACATCGAAACATCGTCCACCATTAAAAAAAAAAAAATGATGCGACAAATCACCTCAACTTTTCATTAACCAATCCATTTATTCTCAATTTCTTTATTTTCTAATAATTAATCTCTACTATACTAATTTATTTTCTGTTTCCCCCTATTACAACTTTATCAAAATAAAATTCAAATCAATCACGCACGTGCAACAGATATTGATTACATAACCGAGACTAATTATCTTCCAAATCTATACCTAACAATACATGAGATACAAACTTTCAGGTGTGAGGGTGTGTTTGCATATAAATAAACTCAATCCACACTCAATTTGTACTCAAAATCTAACTAAACTTTAACTCAATCCCATTATTCGCAATATTATCAATATAATTAAATAATATCAACCAATCATCCTTACGCATCACATCAACTTTAATTCACTATTCATCCACTCACATAATTTTAACTAACCATCACTTCACATCATCGCCCTCATACTTTTATCAAATCAACTTTAATTATTTTATTTTAAATATTATTTAATATAAAATCAAAATTCCACTAACAACTAACCATACAATCTTTTTCAAAATTAACTCTGGTTAACCAAAAAAAAGGATATATTTGTATCCAAACATCTTAGAAAAAGAGGCTCCTTACAGGCTTACACTCACACACACACACACACACACCGACTTATGAATGCAAGTTAGTACAAGAAAATCAATTATTGTTTCTAATCCCGAACTTTTCATCACTTAATTTCAACATAAGAATAAATCCCTTCAATTGCCCATATGTTATTATATATATTATGAAGCAAATATTCTTCTTACCTGGCGTTTGGACATCATGGTGGACGGCAAAGGCTGTTGTTTGGTGCTACCAAACCACTCGGGCTGGCTGTTCCCGTGCAGCCTCAGCCAATTCCTGAATGCTAACACAAAACGGTCAGCCTGCGTGGGCGTAAATGTAATTTTGGCATATTCTTGGTTAATATCACCCGAGGTTTGGGAGAGAAATATCTTCTCCTGACCCTTGAGTACAATCATGTCCCCATCATACACCTTATTTGATGTCCAGTGCTCATGCCATCGAGGGACCACCTATTCGCCAATCAAATTTCGACGAAATGGAAATTTCACTAATTATATATTGGATTCTTTACCAGTACAAGCCAAGGGTGTCAAGTATTTACTAAAAAGTTCATACAACTCTAAAAATGACAAAAAGAAAATACCCTTCATTTGATCCTCTCTAATTTTTAAAGGGACAACTGAAATACCTTTTTTTGAGTTTTCTTGGTTACTGCAAAGACGTTAGGCTACATTTACAATTACAAATGATCCTAAAATGCTTTCGGCATATACAGTTAGTTACTCTGTAACTAAAGAACACATGTCCTTAACCTTGAAGTTTTACTTACCCTATTATACTCAGACACGAGGCACACACATAGCTGTAATTGACGTCAATTATATATATATATATAAAAAAAAAAAAGATGCAATCATTATAAAATTAAGCACATGATTTTTATTCTGTTTATGGGTTTTCATGAATTCTATCATAGTACTCGTCTTCAACAATCAGCCTTGGAAAAGGAAAACTAATGTACGATTACCTGCCACCATTTAGGTCCCGGCATAGTGAACTGGAAAAAGTTTCGGGCACTGCAAACAATCGAGCGTGTCTTTCCAGGAGCCATTGGAACATTAAAGGAACAAATCCATATGACCCATTTTTGGTCCCCCACGATTGGAAGCTTTGTATTGATCTCAATCCTGAAAAAGCATTTACACAACATAACCCACACTTATGTCTCATTGAACAAAATATAGAATATAAATAAAAGGAAACAAATAGGACACCTCATACACAATATTAGAAATCATATATTACCAACTGGAAAACAGATGGATAATATAATATTAGACCTACAATATAATATATGATGAAGCACATAACAAGACCATAAGACAGAGGAACACCATAACCAATGAAATATATGGCCTTGGGATTTGAATTTACAAATTCACACGTTATTTATTTTCCCAGTAAATAACCTTATAAATATATACTCAACAGCACCAGGGACCGGGAGACATCGATTTTTCAAACACTTCCAACATGAATATACTTTCTAAGGCTAAGAAGGAACAAGTCAATAAATATAGTGTACTGTTAAATTCAAAAGTGAAATGCAAGCAAGTCATAGAACAGACTACCAAGCAACTTAAATTCATTAATAATAACCTTACTTATTAATGTAGTAGCATGGTGCAACAAACTTAGCACTTATTCTTGGATTTCCGTCATTTGCACCAGCAAATCCCCAAGACCCGCTACCTTCCATTTTGAAAGGTAAAGGCTTTGCTCTATCTCGTCTGCCTGTAACCTGACAGTGTTTTTATTTGCATGCGATAAGAAACTGGTAGAACGCATAATCGAAAAAAGACCAACGAGCATAGTAAAGAAATGGTGTGAATGAGCCATTGAACTTTTAGTCAAAAGTACGGGGAGTAATAGTAAAAAAATTCATGTTATAAAAATTAAAAGGGGTTGAGCTTTGTGCATTTGCATCGCTCTAACTATCTACTTGAAAATCTAGTATAAATCCAAAACGATATTCAGAAGTAATTTTCTTTTCTTTGCAAGTTTCAAGGTTTTTCACATTGTACCTTATGGTGTGCAAAGTCAATGTGAGACGGATCAGACACATTCTCCATGAGAGTATCATATCCATAGTACAAATCACGCTGAATTGTCACAGATGAAAACTCAGGCTTATCAAAATCATCAGGCAACCTATCTCCAAAAAATAAAAAATAAAAAAATAAAAAAAGAAAAATCATGGAAGGAAAAGCAAAAAGTTCATCATTCTTACACTAACAAAGTAATATTAGTAAACTAAACCAACCAGCACCTAAATAACATATCTCCCTATTACTATATTAAAAAAAATTCCAGCACTAATGCATCCATCTGGATCACTAAATAAAGCATTAAAACTGTTTATTACATAAACAGAAGTCAAAACCAAACAAATAAGTTATTACTTCAGTAAACCAGTCAACATCCTAATCCTTTTACACACTCACTAATACAAATAAAATAATCAGTGAAGAACACGTGCACATGGCAATACTAAAACACAACAATTGAAAAAATACATATATGAAAGAGGTTTTATTTACATGGGGGGATCAGTGGCTTGAGCTCTTTCCCAGCCATTCTCATCTGGCCAAACAAAGAGAAGCCCTTGAGAAACCATAGTAGGGAATCTTGTTGCACAAGCCCTTGGGGACTTAATGGAACGGGCCTCGGGCCCTTCTGATGCTGCCTGAGGGATTCGAGTACACGACCCACATCCATCAAAAGACCACCCATGGTATGAACACTGTAAATGCCCATTCTCATCAATCCTTCCTTCCTGCAGTACAATCATAAAAGCATAAAACCACATCAAATTTCATAGAATTGTATGTATAGCCTAACTACAAAAAAATTGCCCAACCAACACTTATAATCTAATATAATCATTTAGACCTTCGTTACTGTTGGAAACAACAAATACAAACTAGAAGTGATACATACAGACCTTATGCTTTGTACTCACCGGCAAAACAAAGCTGTCATATGAAATGTCCATCCCAACGGCAAAACAAATATTAATTCGAAAAAAAAAAGCTGGAACTCACCAAGTTCTGTATAATGCATTAAATGAAGACTATACACACAGAAAAAAATGCTATATAACTGAGAGATTTTGACATAAGAAAGATAATCAGTGCCCTTAATAGTTGCTCTCCCAGAAACAGAAAAAAATAAAAATGAAGAAAAAGTGACAAGAAAAGGGATAATTACTGATAAGGGGGCGAGCCTGTGTGGGCATTTATCATCAAAAGCAACCCATTTGGAAGCAGAAGTATCGAACCAGAGAACAAGATCTCTATTGAGCAGCTGAAATGGAGTGGGGTAACGAGGGTTAAGATCTTCAACAAGCGAAACTGGGTACCAATGATCTCTCCAAGAAAACTTCGAACTCGAAATTTCTTCAGAGTCTTCGGTTTCAATTGCAGCGCCCACGTCCTCCACTTCTCGATCATCTCCAGAAATGGCTGTCGTAGAATTTGACGGCGGCGCAGCTACACATGGCGGATAATTGACAAGTTTTCTTTCTTTTTGTGCAGGGAATCTGTAAATCAAGCGATTGAAAATGGGAACTTGAGGTGGGTTGCAGCTAATAGAGGCGGAAACAGGTGTAGATGGAGAAAGCGAAAAAACCATAATGGGTAATTTAATAACAGAAACAGTAATCCACTACTACCGGAACTTTAATTCATCAAAAGAAACAATTTTTATTCGCGTTTAGAAGTGCAAGTGGCAAAAGCTCTTCGTGTTATATTTATTTTGATATCTGGATCGACTGAGTTTAGTTGGGGATGGAAAAATCAGTGAAGTGTTTTTTGTTTTGGGAAGAAGCCTTTGCCTGCAAGGTTACGTTTCTTTCTTTGGAACAATCTTTGACAATTTATTTATTTTTTTATTTTTTTTATATTTTTTTTTTTCAAAACTATGATTATATTGATAAGTGAAAACTCAAAAAAAAAATACAACCAACATGTCAAATGATACTACTAATAACATATACAACCAACATGTCAAATGATACTACTTATAACATAACAAAAGTTTGGACCACCTTTCTTGAAATTACACAGATGACCAAGAAGGTACGAACTCCATAATAGGGGACACAAACATCTGCAAAACAAAACATAAAAAAGGAGACAAAAACTCTATATAGGAGACAAAAAGTCTGACGCAACGTGACTAATAAAATAAGAACAAAGAAAAATAAAAGACTCATATCTAATACACAAATAGACTAAGACCTCCAATGTACCTAACATGCAAACCACACTATCACCCAAACGAGTACACGTGCCATTCCCCACAGTACAAAAACCCAATAGAACCACAAACCAAAACCCTAGACCAAAAAACTGCATCTAAATTCGAACCGCTTAGAAAGATCTGGCGAGGAGGCGATTCTCGGTCCAGATCTAGGCTCCAAAGGACTTCAACGCTTGGGGGAAGCTACCACGAAAGGTAACACCGTCGGGACGAACCACCGCCGAGGAGGCCGTGGAAGGGCGCACCACCATTAGGAGCCTCTTGCTGGAGAAGACGAACATGTGGCCATGAGGAGCTCCCAGCCGGCGCGAGACTGCAAGCCGAAGGACGAACACCGGCACATCGCACGACCCCAACTCAAGCCAGCACAATTTTAATCTTATTGGGAGATTCCTTTTCTCCTCTACTGTAGCAAACCCCTTACTTTGCGCCTAGGTTCGTCACTCTATTTATCGCTGGATCTGCCTCTTTTTTCTCTTTATTTTCGTCGACGAGGAGGCTCGCACTGGAGTGGCGATGGCAGTTCCGACCTGTCCTCGTCCCCTTCTGACGTGATGCTTCTCCAAGCTTCTGGTGGCCATGGCGGGTCCTGTGGGGTTTCGACGGTGGGGCAGAGGGTCCGTCGTTGCCGACTTTGTCTGCCTCCTCGGTGGTGGTCGGGTTCTAGACTAGCGACCGGGCACTCTTCTGGATCCAAGTCATCTCTGGTGCTGCGATGAACATATCCAACTGTTCGATTCTGTTACGAACATTGACCGGTGTGCATATCCGAATCCAATAAAATCAAATCCTAGCTCAACGGAATCTACATCTAGGATTAGGAATTTACGTTTGAAAAATTTTGCCGAATATGAGAGGATTGCACAACCTATGGGGCTGGACGAACGTTCTGAGTCGCGTCCTCTAGCCCACATTCCTGCAATCCACGTCATCGCCCGAGTCGTTGGACCGCGTGTAGCGCCACTGCTGATTGTCGAGTGCCCGAGGCCTGCTCGTTGCCCACGTCCGTCTGGTTGCGGGGCCACGTGGTGCTTTCTTTGGGTCGCCACGTGGTGCACCTAGTCGCAGGGTGCGTTGGTGGTTGCCAGGTGCTTCCGCGTGCAGGGATCGCTTTGGGCCGCTGAACGTCATGTCTCGTGCAAATTATTAAACCGTAAGTCTTCTACCTTAACCTATAGATCCACTACGCATAGGTTATTAGATGAACTTATAACTTGCACAATTGCGACGATCCTTATTGATCCCAACAACCGTCTGCGTTAGTTTTATGATGTCCCTGAAGTGATCTCAAGAAGGATTATTATGTCAAGGCCGATTGACGGATTTAATTTCGACATAATAATAAAGATTTGAGTGATTTTAGCTTCAGTTCAAGAATTCAATGAAATATATTCTTAGTAATTAAATTAATTGACTATTATTATATGTTAAACACTGAGAGGTAAATCGAGTAATTATAATTGGAGCCTCAAATGTAATTTCAGAATTAAATAGGATGTTCAATAATATTTCTTCAGTGAACTGAAATATTATTCAATATGAGCAAAGTGGGCTTGGCCCACAGTTAGACCCATACTTTGGGAAGCCCATATTTAATACCTCTTTAGGGTCCCTGTTTTAGCCTATAAATGCATCAGTTAATTTGGATGATCAGTCGCCACTTTCTTAGGAATACACGTTGTTGATGTCTAAAAATGACCAACAATGTGTTCGAACTATATACTGAATTGTATACTCGGTTCGGTCTGCACGAATAAGAATTTATATGGTATTCGGTACGAAGAGTGGTATGAATGTAAGCTCTATCCATGACTTTTATAGCATTAATGAGAGCATTTACTCATTGCATTCAACGTTTCCTCTTGCTCCTTATATAGGAAGTGTGAGGGCTTTTTACAGTCCTCTTTTGGGATTATCTTTTTCTATTTCTCTTTTATAAGATATTAATTGATATTTAGTCACACTACATTTAATGCTATTGTACTACAAAATCCCATCTCAATAAAGTAACTTCGCCTGGGTCGTGACAAGTGTCTCTGCCTGTTAGACACCCTTAAATGAGTGATTACCGAATTGAATGTGTATCGTACGGACAAATCTTTGTAATGATTAGTGCTGATCGGACACGCTATCTGCATCTCGCTCGGTCTCCAATCCCGTTCGGTTCGTTTCTCTGTTCTGCTCATTGCGGAGCCGAATGAACTATTATTTAATTTATTCTTTATTTTCTTGTTCGTTCGGTCTCTACCACGTACACATGTCCTAGAAAGTTTTCTTTACAGAAAATATATATTAACACGATTTTGTGTATATTGTGAGAGATTGAGAATCCAAATGGGAAAACTTCGTCTTCGTCACCTGTAACGCCCCGATTTCAAATGGTAAATATTGCAATTTAAAAGAGACGTTAACAGATTTTGAACACAAAGAGTTTACAATAATCAACGCTGCGGCAGTCTGATAATATAACTCATAAACAACTTATAAATTTAAACTTCGTGAAATCAATTCAGGAACTTTATCATTTTCTCAAAACTCAAATCATACTCATAAGTACCATAGCATAATCAAAGTCAAAAGGGAAATTGAATGCTTTTAGTCTAAGCTCTAAGTCATGAAAGCACGATGACTAGTAACAATAAGTCAAAAGTTCTAAACTACCAAATCATAATTCAAATGACCAAATCATCAACTAAACACAAAGTGCCAAACAATTCGAAAATGACCACCACGCCGTCCCGAGTCCCTACGCCAACTCCTCAACCTCTAAATTATAATAAGGGGTGAGTACGGAATGACTCTGTGGGGAAACCATACTGTGCAATTATTCAAGGTAATAACGGTTATAACAATAATTATATGCACTTAATACTTTTACCCGAAGGCCCTCCATACATTTTCCGAAAGCCCAACTTCAAGCCTCCATGTTATACCCGACTTAGTGGCTCTTATTTCAAGCCTTTATGGTTTATCCGACATAATGACTATTATACATTTTTGTTACGGCCCAACTTCCATCCCCCATAGTATACCCGACTTAGTTACTCTTATTTCAAACCTCCATGGTAACCCGACTTAACGGTTTATTATACACTGTAAAACCGTTACTTTATATTTTCGCCCAAAGGCATAGTCTCGAAATAGTCTCAATAGTCTCAACACATATCAAAATCATCATACCATGCGATTAGCAAGAATAAACAAGTAATATTAATATCCCCACCTCGACTTGAGTACTCAGAATAAATGAACGATCGAATGAATGCCTCAAGGACTCGACCCATCGAAATCTACATGATAAAATTATTTAACATAAATACACATTCTACTCATAGCATAATATAATTAATTTAATTAAATTTAAATTCGAGGCTCGGCTTAAAGGGTTTTAGAAATAGGTTAATGAATAGAAAATTCAAGGCTCGGATGAAAAACAAATCAAGGCTTGACTAGAAATTGAAAAAGGATCACTGAGGCTGGGGCTCGGTCCGACTAGTGCCTATTGGGTCACGCGGTTGCGCCAGGAGGTCTGTCGGGTCGTGTGGGTGCGCCTGGGTCTATTGGGTGGTGCGTTGGGAGCGTTGGATTGCTGGGAACACGTGGGTCGCCGGGGGCACCGATGTAGATCGCGCGCTGCGGCATCACGCGAGTTTCGCTAGAGGTGTCTCCATCGAGGCGGGTCTACTGTGAGTAGGCTGAGGCTAGGAGCGGGTCGCGGGGGCTGTGAACGAACTTGGATGGCCTATGCGCGGCTGAGCCTCAATGGTTCAACGGTTGGGTTTCATGGTTTAAGGTATGGGTTCAGTAGTTCAAGGGTTAAAAAATAATGCTTGATTGAAGGCAAAAGCTTCAGGAAAAATTTGGGTTTGGCTCAACTGAATTAAATCAAACTTGGAAAATAAGATAATAAAAATTTAGACAACAAAAACATACCTTTGCGCTGGATAAATGAGAGGTTCTCCTGGTGGGATGCTGCTGGACTAAAGAAAATCTCAGCTAAGGGTTGCTCAAGGTTTAAAGGATTGCTCGTCCTCAAGGCTCCTCGACCCCGGGAAAGTTTTGTTGCCGAAGAGAGAAGAAAATATCGAGAAAAGTAGAAGGAGAAGAATAGGAGGCCTCTAGTTATTTTGATGGAGGTATAAAGAGGAGAAGATATGAGATTTGACAGGAGTAACCGATGACATGATTTTCAAATGGGTGAAAGAATAAACGTGGAATAGATATATTTTGACCAATTATTCCCTTAAAATCTCATTCTCTCTAACTTTAAATTTTTGGTAACTTTATATTTTAAAATTCTTATTTCATTTCTTTATAATATTCCCATCTTAATAAAGAAACGGTGTTTATTTTTGGGACGATTACTTCGAGAAATAAGTTGGGGCGCAATATCTTGGATGATCAGTCGCCACTCTCATAGAAATACACTCCCTAGAACGTTTTTTTACAAAAAATATATATTAACATGACTTTGTGTATATTTTGAGAGATTGAGAATCCAAACGGGAAAACTTCGTCTTCACCACCCACTAAGACGAACGGAATCGATGTAAGGTAATGCAACAAAATATCCAAGGTAAAACGAGGCGATGATGATGCACGACAAATTTATCCCACGAAGACCGCATGTAGCCGCCGGCGATTAGCCCCGACCACCAGCGACAACCCGCTAAACTTTCGACAGCAACCAACCTTGGCGGACGGGCAGCTGGATGGTTGCACCAACACATAAGCGTTGGCTGTAGCCGTTGGTCTGGCGCAGCCCGCGCAGACTGGCCGCAATCCCAGCAGTCGCGCGTAGGCGTTGGGCACAGCCGCGTGCAAGAACTAGGTGCAGCTCCCGCGCAGACGCTGGGTATCCTCGTAGGCCACGGACGTGCGAGGCAACAGATGCGCGCTAAGAAACGTGCGGACTTCTCGCAGACGTCGCGCCACACGCGTGACAAGATCGCCAGCAGCATAACGGGCCAGGTGACTCTCGGGTCGGGTGACGCAGAATGTAGCAAAATGCACGACCCGGTGACACCTAGTGCAAACAGTCAACGTGCAACAGTCTGACGCGGCTCCCGCGCTACCTCAACAAGGCTCATTGTATACTCTCACGTGAGACTGCGTGACACATGCACGCAGGCGACCCACCAGCATCTGCAGCAGCACCCTCGGCCCCATGCCCATGCTAGCAAGCACCAACGCGCACCAGTTGACCAGTCTACGCACCATGCAAGCCGCGGCGAGCCAGATGACCTCCAGCAATACGAGTACGGTCCAGTAGCAGTCCAGCAGCCCCTAGGCGATGAGAACATCCCAACAACAATGGCACGACGCCCAAGAAAATGCGAGATGTGACTCAGACTTCGGAAGACGCGACGTGGCGATCGTGATGGGACGAGCACTGATGAGACATACGACCAAAAGGTGAGGAGGATGATGAGGTGAGAAGATCATCTAAGAACCATTCGGTCGGCCCTCGTAAGTCGTGTATGTTTATACATAGTCTGCATAAATTTTAAATGGTACGCGTCCAATCATTGTTCATAGTTCCGCTGCACTTATGGTTATTTCGTAGACGATCTGTGACTTGTATAATTTTGACGTTCCTAACCGAGCCCTACCCAGGCGAATGTTGAAGCCTTGTTGGCAAAATCTTACATTATTATGACTTTCGCGCTGGCCAGTCGCTCATTGATTACCAATTTCAAACAACATGAGCTGAGTCAGGCGAGTAATGGAGCTTTGTTAGCAAAATTTGGTATGATTAAGGCATTTGAGCCGACCAATCGCTCATTACCTATTTCGAACAATGCGAGTTGGGTTAGGCGAGTGTTTGCCTTATTCAGAAGGTATGAACATGGTTTTGTATAACTTAAGTTCGGCCAGGCGTTTGTTGATTATTGCATTGGAACAACTGTGACATGGGCCAAAATAGTGTTTTTGAAAATTTGATTTTATACAGCTTATGTTGGGTCGGACAAGTGCTTTGGAGTTCTTAACTACAAATCTGGTTTTGAACAGTATGAGCTGGACCAGTTGCTCGTAATTTATCGATTTGAAATAACGCAAGCTATGTTGGACGAGTGTCAATTTTATTTTTGAAAGTTAGTATATGAATATTGGATGATTAAAAGATGAAT